TTACTTAGGATTCGCGTCAGCCGACATCAAAGCGTCTCTGTCGAACGTCCGAGAGTCAAAAGAGGGTGCGAATAAATAAAGCGTAGCTAGAAAACGAAGGCATTCTTTTGAAGGGCGAGTCGATTCCAATCGCGATTTGCTTTTAATCACACACGAAAATAACAGCAAAGGTGTTTTGGAATAATTCGGATCGCATAGATAAAGAGATGAATAAAACAACGTAGAATGAATTATGCAGTGAGTTTTTGCATCAGCTAAGTAGTTTTCCTGTCGCGAATGCGCTTATTTACAGTATTTCAACGGAATAGAATTCAAGCATAAAAGCAAGTTCACTCTTCGACAGTGGCGTTTTAGAGATCCCCAACACGCGCTCTGAATAACATCAACAACTCGCAACTTCTCGCCTGCTTTTGCCACCGTTGAATACGGAAATTCTATACAAGTGAAAAGTTCTTTGCTCCCCATTCCATTATGTATGTGCGTGTGGTTGAGTTACAACCACCTCGGGGACCAAGAAAGCATTAAAGCCAAGCTTTTCGCCTACTGCCTCCAACGAAATGCATTAAATATGTCCTCCACCTACACCACTTCTCTATTTTTCGAAAACCGTTTTAATCAAACGCGGAATTAAGCTGTGCTCACACAAATAGCATTTTTAACCACGCAATTAATATTAGATTTCTTCTCAATTATTTTAGTTTTTAATTTATTAGAATTATTTAGCACAAATTTAACCTTTCAGTTTCTAGATGCATCTTCCGAACAGTTGACTTTTATGGACTTTCAAAGCATATCTCGTGTAATCTAACAAACTAAAAATGCTAGTAGGTACAGTAAATTTTGGGGTGAAAATTGTTTAATACAATATAGTGGTTGCACAATAGTATTAATTTAAGCAGTATTAATGTTTCAGCAGCAATGTTACAAGAAAAAAAAAAAGCTATTCTGTAATGCAAAAATTTTTTAATAAAAATTGTAGCATCTATTTTAATTTAAAAACATTTACTTGTGAACTATAGCTTCTATAGTAAAAGATTTAAATTTGTCCATATTTCCAGCTACGAGTATCTATGCGAAAGGTGCATAGAAACAAAAAAAAGGAATTGGATTCTCGACTACAAATACAGCAATGATGATTAAAAGTAATTATTTTGTAGATTTGTGTATTTTAATGATGAACAATGTAAAAATGTCAAAAGTTTTTCATAAAAAAACTTTCCATGTTTAGTAATATGTGATGATTGTATTTCTCTATAAACAAACTAAAAAAAAAATGAAAATAATTGTAATAAAATTGTAATCCTTATATCATAGCCTTTGTAAAAAAAAGTTTTATAGGTGGGGCAAATGCCAGAGTAATAACTAAATTTGTGAATTCAATTTCATACGGCTCATTTATTATTTTATTATAAAGAATTTTTATTTATATAGCTTATTACTCATATATTAGGCTCTTATTTTAAGTATTTAGTAAGAGGGAATTTTTTTTTTAATATGAGTCTAAATGAAGTACCATGTCTTATTATTACATTTACCCCGTGTAACGCATTTAGTAACAGGGTTTTTAGATTGGATTCTGGGGTAATACAAATAAAATAAGACAAAAAAAGGTTATTTCAGAGAGATCAGACAATCACAACCAAAATTAGACAACTTTTAAGAAAATATCATTTACATACCATGTCTTTTGAAGGACCGTCACGAAATGACACGTCACTCATTTGTCCGTCGATAAAACAATATCAACATGTGATTAGCTTAAAGTTGATGAAATAAGGGTGTGATATGAGATATGGTAGCACCGGCTTCTTTTAAGGAAATATAGCTTTAGTACATTATTGCAATTCCCCCGTTATTGTAATTGACCCACCTGACCCTAACTGAAAAACAAAAGTAAATTTTGAAAAATTTTATTCATTCTTGACAAAACGTCACATCCTTATAGAATTCTATCATTCATCAAAATTAGTTTTTTCAAAAAATAAATAGTTCACGCAAAAAACATAAGAATTCATACTTTTTATTCACCTGGTAGGTATACGTTTTATGTTAAATTTACACAGTGAATTATTAAAAGTTTTGCAGTGACTCTTCTGAGTACTATCCTCAAATAACGAATATTGGCTTGATGTACTTGGTAGTGTTACAGGTTCTATTGAGAAAAGAACGATTGCATGTGCCGAGGATCGATTATTTATACCGTAGTTGTAAAAGACAGAAGAAATAAAAAAAAATATTGAGTTTTGTTAATAAAAATTTTATCATCATATTTTAATCGTTTATGATAAATACTACTATGTACAGGGTGTTTCATTTCGATTGTTAGAAATTTAAATCGGAGGTAGAATATTCAATTTTAAAACAAAAGTTTTCTATGAACATATATCAAAAATGCTACACAATGGAGCTACACCTCAAAGGAATGCGTTTTTAATGGGTTTTTTCAATATTTTAGATAAAATTACAGAATTTGATACAGATGATAATCTTTATACAGCTAATCGAATTCAAAGATAAAATGTAGAAATCTTTAATAAGGGATTTCCTAAACTGGATGAGTTTAGGGTAAAACGTACTCTGACTATTTTGGTTGTAGTTACTTGCCACTTTCAGCAACAAAATTCTAGATTTCATGGTTCTTTATACAAAAAGGTCATTTGCGTTTTTTCGATACAACTTACCAATTTTGAGTAAAATCAATTTTAAGATTTATTTTACAGACCATAAATTGCATAAAAATTAAAAATTAAATTCGTTTTACCGTTTAGGACGCCCCTGATTAAAAATTTCGACATTTCATCTTGGAATTCGTTTAGGTGTATAAAGGTTATCAGCTGTATCAAATTTTGTAATTTTATCTATTCTGAAATATTGGGAAAAACCTTTTAAAAGCGCACCTTTTTTAGAGAGTGTAGGGTGTAGCTTCCTTACATAGCATAACACCCTGGATATTATTCACCTTTTTGAGGTATAGAGATTGTTTTGTAAATATGTACCTATACAAAAATCATTGTCATCAAAATAGTGTCGTAGATACAACCTTTATAAATAATGAATATAATAATTTATAAAAAAAATCAATTTAAACTTTATTGGTATATATTTAGTATCTAATAAAATGCACAAATTAGAAGTTAAACGACACAATCACTATAGGTTTAAATTTCGTAAAGAAATGTGTTATTTTGTGTTGTGTAATTTTAGTGTTTTTGGAAAGTCCATTTTAATTTTAAAGTTTTTTTTATTTCTGGACGTTTAAGACATTTACAATACAAAGTTATGTGACAATATTTTAAAAGGATTTTTGTATAAGGACGACACAGAAGTCAGTGAGCTGGAAGGAGTGGGGCAGAACATTGAGGACCTGAAAAAGTGTAAGAAACCGTCGATTTCTTCGGTTCTTTCAGGTTCGGTGCTGATTTGGGGATAGTTTATGGCATGTGTTGTAAATTCGCGAGTTGAAATTGGCGCGTCGAGTGTCGAATCGAATCGCAGCAATCTCCTTATGTTTGATCGGAAGAGGTTTTGTGTGGCGCTTCATAAAATGGCGAAAGAGAGGCTTGTGAGTCGAGATCCTATTCCAATCTGTCGCTTAAACAAAGAGTAGCAAACAAACGGTTAGACGGAGTCCGGACGGACTGTCATTGTAGGAATGCAATAGCAAATCAAGATTGGATTTCAACCCCTGCCAGGGGTCGAAGTCGCTAGTCTAATCTCGACCTCGCACTCGACCGCCAACACATCTCCCCGAACCCCGGAATTACTCCGACTGCCCCTACAATCCGCGCCGCACAATGACGTGTCTGAATCAAAGCGAACTTCCAATTCGACAAATTGAAAAATACTCATTAGTTGGATGTTTCGCACTCACCTTCGTTCCTTGTGGCCCGTTTCTCGCCGGACGGAAATTAAAAGAACTAAATATCTCGAATTTTTACGACTTGAATGGTTGGAATGCTCGACATTGTTCAAATTAAAAAGTTTCGAATTGTTAAAATGATCCGGCGCATCCACCATTTTTACCGTTTCAGTATTCCATCAGCAATTCTCTTTCATTATTTTATTTCTCGGGTTCAGCGAGATTCTTACATCTAGTTTTGTGCTCTTAATTTTAAGCAATTTCAGTACAGCGCTCCGTGTAGATACATTATCTAGTGTTGCTAAAAGCTTTACGGTTGGCAGCACTGCAGTAATACACTAATGCGTGGGTGGGGTAAGTGACACCTTGAGCTGTCAGCAACTGAATAGTTGATGGATGATCCACTGGAGATGCCCGAGACAACCCTTTATAGCTTTCTACATACACTAAACTTCAAAACATTGTTAAGAAAAATATCTTTTTACTTACAATACAAATTATTAACACAAATTTGAGCTTTTCTTTCTGGAAGCTAGAAAAAAATTTCTTTGTGGTTACTACACTGTATCTGGGAATAGTTGAGTTTTTTTTATAACAAACATTTTTTTCTGAAATAGAATTTTTTTAAATTAGGTGATTTACGAGAAATAATGAGCCAGACAAATTCTCGATACAACCTACATTACATTTGTCGCAAAGCAACTTGCGTAAAGTAATGGTGGTGTTGCATCGAGAATTTGGTGAGGCTCATTATTCCTCGTGAATGACCTTGTATAAAAATTTGAAAAACTCAAATTTTTGAAATAAATTTGAAATAATTTAGCTGAGCCACATAAACTCACTTTTACTCCAAATAACTACAAACGTATTTAGATCAAGAGTAAAGAGCAACTATATTAGCAAGTAAATGAACAATATAATCGGGACGCTTTGCAAGGAAATCATATAACAAACGTTACGCGTCAGTAACGAAATTTGTGTTAAGATTTTTGAAAGTGTTTATTGATTTAACTAATGCAGATAGTGGTGCTGATGATCTACAATGTACTATCAAATTTATGAAAAACTAGTACACCAACATTTTACTTGTGTCATTTAGTCATAAGAGGGCCATTTTTGTGATGTTTGCAGATAAAAAATATTTTAATTATTTAATGCATTTATTCGAAAAAAAATATCTACTGGTACTATGGCTATAATTTTTTTCTTATTATAGCACCACATTTTTTAAATTTGTATATAAGATTAAACCGACATAACGTTATTTGGGTTTTCTTCATAAACAAGCACTTCATATGAGTCACATTCAATTTCTTCGCCTTTATATGGAAAATAAAGTTTGGCTTTTCCTATCGTTCCGGAACAGACTTTCCCCACAATTAATTCGCCTTGATATTTGACACGACCAATGTTAAGGATCTTTCCCCATTCAGTTCCACCTGACACTAAGTGCTTATTAATGGTTGTTAAATGCAACGTTGCAGCGTTTCCTGGCACCCAAGAAAAATTTTCTTTGTGACCGCTACACAATATCTGGAAAAAACAAACTTTAACATTTATTTTAAGACAAAATTGAGTTTTTACTCTGTTGTAAACGTCAGTAACGTGTATTTTTTCCTTGGAGGTTGTTAAACTTTTTTGGCCGGGATATATTTGTCCAATTAAAATACCATGGTGTAAGACGAAAGCTTGACCTATGTATGTGGGAGAACCTCTTGAATCTCTACCACCCACAATGGCATCGGAAGGGATTGACCCATGATAATCCCTCCAATAATAATCTGAAATTAACGATAAATAATGCTTATAAAATATTTTATACACAATTACCAGGATCGTAGGATGCTACACGAAAAATACAAATTATTAAAGACACAAATGTCACCTGTTTATTCATTTTGTTATTTATAACTAAATGAATCATCGACATCTTTTCATATTTATAATGTTGTTCTCTTTGTGATAAGGATGTGACCTTATGACATGGAAAATCCAATTGTTGATAAATTTTTTAAACAAACCAGTAATTTAATCGAGTTTTTACGTAAATTTGAATTTTTAAATTTTTAAAGCACTAAATTCTTAAGTATGTTTTGAAAAAGACGCTAAATTACAAATAATAGATAAACCAACCATCACAGACGTATTTAGGTTGTTTATTTGACCTGTTAAAATTAGTAACCAGTTAACATAAAGAGGGCAGAAATGTTACACTACAAAATTTTTTAAAAGTTGACTACGCGACATTTTACTGTCTTAGTTTTTCATGAATTTGATAGTACCGCTCCAGAAATTATTGCTAAAGCAAGGAAGGAGACAACATTGGTAAATGTCATGGTAAAAGTAAAAACACTTAAGCGAAAAAACAGAGTTTTTACTCCATGACTGAAAGGTATAACTTTTACTTGTGTCATTTAGTTATAAGAGGGCTACTTTTATGATGTTTTCAGATAAAAAATATAATTTTTTTATTTGAAAATTATTGTGGCTATTATTTTTTTTCTTATTATAGCACAAATTTGTATATAAGATGAAACCGGCTTAACGTTATTTGGGTTTTCTTCATAAACAAGCATGTCATATGAGTCACATTCAATTTCTTTGCCCTTATATGGAAAACAAAGTCTAGCTTTTCCTATCGTTCCGGAATAGACTTTCCCCACAATTAATTCGCCTTGATATTTGACACGACCAATGTTAAGGACTTTTCCTATTCAATTCCACCTGACACTAAGTGCTTATTAATGGTTGTTAAATGCAACGTTTTTGCGTTTCCTGGCACCTAAGAAAAAATTTCTTTGTGACCACTACCCAATATCTAGAAAAAACAAGTTTTGTACATCTACTTATTTCAAGAACAAATTGAGTTTTTTACTCTGATGGAAACTTCAGTAACGTGTATTTTTTCCTTGGAGGTTGTTATTCTTTTTTGGCCCGGACATATTTGTCTAATTAAAATACAATGGTGTAAGACGAAAGCTTGACCTATGTATGTGGAAGAGCCTCTACCACCCACAATGGCATCGGGAGGGATGGACCCATGATAATACCTCCATAATAAATAATCTTTATTTTGTACTCAATGTTAAAGAGTGCTTTTATCAACTATTTTTACTGGATAAAGTAGTCTTTTATTGTCTAGTGAAATATAGTTATTTATTGTAAGAGTGTGTTAAGTAGCGTTTTATCCACGCAAGAATGTTTAACTGCTCGAACTAACATACAAGTTACTTTATCCCATTAGTGGATAAACTGGTACTTGATACGCATCTAAAGTGTGGGATAATGTCTTTTTTTAGAGTAATTGTGGATAAAAGTAATTTTTATCTACTGTTTATATTTTATTAACTAATTTCAGTAGATAAAGTAGTCTTTTATCGTCTAATGAAATAAAGTAATTTTTATCTACTGTTTAGATTCAAGAAATTCTGGTAGGTGAGTACAAAATAAAACGTCACTCGTAAACTTAACCTTTTCAGTAGTAGATAGACAATTTCTTTATCGTCTTGTATAATAAATAACTAGAAATTAACAATAAATAATAATTATTAAATATTTTGTTCATAATTACTAGGCTCGCAAGATGCTACACAAAAAAATACAAATTATTAAAGACACAAATGTCGCCTCTTTGTTTATTTTGATTTTTATAACTAAATGAATCATCGACGCTCTTTCATATTTACGAGTATAATAAGGATGTAACCTTGTGACATGGAAAACCCAAGTGTTGATATTTTTTTTAAATAAAGGAGTAATTTAATCAAATTTTTTGACTAATCGGGTAGCGAATTGAATATAAATCAATCTCGTTTGATTTGTCGTTCGAGCACTGAACAATTATTTTTATTTTGCTCCTATTTCAATGCATCGTCGCATTATTGAAATGTCTCTTTTCCTGTGGTTGTCTTTGAACTGCACGCTTGCATACGTCGACAAGTAAAGATCGTAAGCCCTCACTGTCGCTAAGATCGTCGCATTATTGATGGTTTCCCCATAAAGCTTGCGCTCGAACGTCCGTTGGACATAAAAACTTTTTAAAATAATGCGACTGGTGTCCGGAAAAATGGCAGGCATTATCTTTTGGCTCGGCAGGGGATTAGGTTTCATCCGAACATTTCGCTCTACCTTGAAAAAAATCTTTTCTTATCTGAGATGTAAATGCCATCAGTCTCAAATTGAGATCATAAATTAGGACGAAATGTTACGTATGTATTTCTAAATTAAGTAATCGGCGAGTTAACCGCCCACGGTGATATTAAGACAGTTGCTTTCTGCATGATTTGTAGGGTGGGTGGATTTTTTTTGAGGGTGATGGGAAATTTACTAGTTAGTTAGTGACATGGCTTTTAATTTAGAGACTTTAGTCACAGTTGATCGCAATAAAACGCTTCGATAATAGTTTCTTGTGGCGCTAACGTGCTTCCATTAAAATTTATTTCTCTAATTTATTTATATCATAGATGTGGCATATGGTCTAGTCGGAAATTTATGAGACACAACCTATGGCGTTTTAATTTAACGGATCATTCAATTATCTTAAACCAATAGTTTCAACCGCTGGTTGCCCACTTAATTAGCTACTGAAGTTTTTATTATTTCTGGGTTTTATTACCAAATAATTCTAAACGTTGTTTTAAATAGGCTCAAAAAATAAAGGTTTTTAATGAGGCTTTTAGGTTCCAACACTATCAATATTAATGATGTCAAAATCAACCTACATTATCACTTTCAGTGTAAAATTTAAAAGCATCTCATTACGTGAGTATCGACAGCGTTAGTGATGATTTATGATGGTTGAAATTAGTCAATATTTCAACAGGTGGAATGTTTTAAGACAAAAATACACGATGTTTTTAGTTGTTGCTTAAAAATGGACGTATTTGATTAGTTTTATTTTCACTTTTGTAATGAAAATTGTATTAAAGTTGTACTAACATAGATGTTGGAAAATGCATAGAAAAATTTATAGATTGTAAATATTACATGAAAATAAACAATAAAGCCATTAAAACAAGGACAGGTAATATTTTCAAATTGAAAAATGGACACATACAGTCTTTTTTTGCTTACTTCTTATAGTATTTTTATAGCTAATAAGACAACAAGAGTTTTAACTATAAAATTTGTGTTGTCTTCAAAATTTTTTCCAACACTAATATTAGGTAGATAATTGTTATTTATTGTAAGAGTGTGTTAGATAGCGTTTTATCCACGCAAGAATGTTTAACCACGAGAACGTCAGTTCGAGTCCACTTGTCAGTTACTTTATTCTACTAGTGGATAAAGTGGTACTTTATACGCATCTAACGCGTGCAATAAAGTCTCTTTATAAGTGATTGTGGATAAAAAAAATTACTGAATTCTAAAGAAATTTGTCAAAATTGACAAAATGTCAAGATAAGAGAATTTTATGTAAAGTCTGTTTTTTTTTAAATGGAAATGCTAAACAGTGTTAACGTTGGCATCACTAGTAAATTCATTATTGGTAATTTTAAAAAAGGAAGTTGGCAGTTCCGGTTTTTTCAATTAATTTTAAAACAATGTCATTAAACGTCAACACAAAAAATCGTCTAAGAAAATTTAGAGACGAAACACCAAAAAAGAAACAAATTCGGTACACTAACGGTTTTTCGAAATTTGGAAACGAATAGCAAGCAGCAAGTTAGAAAAAGGGCCTTTTAAAATGTAGACGCAATTTGTAATGCAGGTTTGCTAAATATTCTTAATTTTAAGCAAGAAATCGGCAAGAATACAAAATAAACATGAATGAGAATGAACCTCGGAAAGAACGCAATTAAATTAGTGTCTTGTGCATGGTTTTTTGAGGAATGAGTTGAAAAAGTAACAATTTTGAAACTAAAGCTGAAGAAGAATTTATAAAATGCATCAACTTTGAGCTCATTTCAATAATTACACCAAATTTATTGCCAATCATCATAATACCTACTTGTATCTTTTGCTAAATAACTTTTTTCTGTATATACATCCTTTTTCTTCAAAGTTTTTGTAGCAAGAATCTCATTTTTGTCCATAACATTGTACTTACTCGCGGTGTGTATTTATCAAAATTATTAGCACTGAATTCTGTCTTTAGACCTTAGGTAATGATGTCTGTCCTCAGGTATTCAATTATAGCGCTTTCAAAGAGCAATCAGGCACACAAGATTCATAAAAGTAAAAATTTTGACAACATCTCAATTTGAACACATAACCATATTTTTTTTAACAAAATTTCTAGGGACAAAAACAAAGAGCAAACAAAATTTGTGGCTATGGAAACAAGCTGTTACCAATTTTTTCACCAAAATTTTGACTTGGTAATTTACATTTAATAAAAAAAAAACAGACTTTAGGTACTTATAAAATACGTTGTGATTTATACCAGGTGATGAATAAAAAGTATGGAGTCAAACGTTTTTTTCTTAAACTATTTGTTTTTTGGAAAAACTAATTAATGAATGATAAAGTACTCTAAAAATGTAATGTTTTATGAAAAATAAAATTTTTCGAAATTTTCTTTTGTTTTTGAATTCTCCAAAAAAATATTTTTTTAATGGCAACCTACCTACTTTTTTTTTGCTCCAAAATTGCGTCTTTTGAAGTGAAATTGCTTTTTGCGCGTTTTAGTTTCAGATGGCATCAGGATAAAAATCTGTAGATAGAGTTGATATTCTGTTGTCGCCGTTTGTTTGTTGAATGGGGTCATTAGGCTGGAAGTTAGGCTGGTTCCTTTGTTAATTTTGCAAGTTGTGAAGAATTCGATCATAAATATGTATGTGGTCTCTGAAACAAGAGGCATGTGTCGGTTCTAAACAGCCAGGCAAATTTAGTTGCAGTGTCGGTAGCATCTGCTCGTTTATCTAGAAACCGTCTTGAAAAATTACTCCATTTCGTCCGGTAAGATTGCAATCTGTGGCGCCATCACATTATGCTGACTGACTG